AACTTCCTGGTGGGCCATTTTTCACCTTCCCCAGAGTCCTGAGGCTTTCCTCGGGCCTCTGGGAGGGCAAAAACAGCCTCCCCCAGGGTCCGGAGGCCTTCCGGAAGCTGGAAACAGGCCCAATTCCAGACTTCCGGGAGGGCCGTTTTTCGCAGAGCCTCCATGCAGACCCTGAATCTACCTGCATCCAAAATGGGCCACATGGAGACTCTTGAGATGGGAATAGTAAACTATAAACAACTATAAACCATAGCAGTGGTTACCACTGGTGGGCTGTGAGAAAATTTTGGTGGGCCGCAGAGAAATCTCACTCCCAGAGCACCCCCCAAAGCAATTAATCCAGGCTGCGCATCCCCGCCCGCTCACTCCTTACCGGGCAAACTTGCCTGCTAAGTTGCTATTTTTCCTTCTTCCGACCATCAGGTGTTCTGCTGTGCCAGGAGATTTAGATTAGCTAGGAAACAGGAAATGGTTGGATTCCTTGCTTTCAAGCTAGTCTTTAGATCTTCGGCTCTGCTTTTAAGTGCAGCCGAACCTCCCTTAGGACTGAAGGTTCTATTATTCAGTGCAGACTCACGGCAAGCAAATTTGAGAGACTGAGCTAGCTGATGGCAGATAGATAGATCACTGAATGATTCTGTGAGCAACTCAATCTGCCTGCCTGCTTTGCCTGATTTTGGGTAAAAGTTCCTCTTTTTTATAAAAAATTCAATATTTATATATTTATAATATTTACATACAAGCCATGCCCAGCCAGTCACATGACCACCAAGCCACACCCACAAATTAGGCCATGCCCACAGAACCGGTTAGTGGTCCCTGGGATTTAAAATTATGGATTTGGTGGTCCCTGAGGTCCAAAAGGTTGGCGACCCCTGGTTTATAGTTTTATAGTTGCTCATTTCATAATCTTTTTTTTAAATGCTGGTTGAACAATAAAACAAAAACATTTCTCCATTCTAAAAAATCATCAAAAGACAAGAACAAACTTGGGGAATTAAGGTGAAAGGTTTTAAGGCAGTGAAATTGTAACCCATGTATTCTGGCCTGTAAATGTTTAGAACTATACATAGGTTTCATTTTACATGGGTGTCAATATATAAATTACTCACAGTCAATGGAAGGAAGCCAATTTCACTGCACCTAGTTGTTCACTGAAGTTCCAACGAAGAGAGACAAAATAGTAGCTTCTTGTAGCATCTAAGGATCCTTCAGAAACTTCACAAATCCAGCAAAACAGGTAGGTTGTCACACCACACAGAACAAAAACTGGTTTAGGCATTGCTCCAATACCCACACACTGAGGACTTGTTGCAAACAACCCAACCCCAATGAGGAAAAAAAATTTCCTTTGCAATTACACCTTGAATCCAGAGTAGGAGTCCGAAAAGACTCAGTTCAACTGAGCACGTCTATTTTGAATGTGTTGAAGAACTTCACTTGATGTTTGCTGGTTGGACAGTTAGTTATTCAGCAGAGGGGAGAGAAAATCACACACACCCATGCTATATTTTACCACATCTCACAGTGCTTCAAAAGCTAAGTAGCCGTGGCTCAAGGTTGACTCAGTCTTTCGTCCTTCCGAGGTGAGTAAAATGAGGACCCAGATTGTTGGGGGCAATAGGTGGACTCTGTAAACTGCTTGTCGGGATTCCAGCAATTGCCCTAATTAAATCGTGATTCTCGAGCCAAACTTCAACCAACTTCAAAGGATTTATTAGAGGTGACATACTGGCACTGCCCTGTATGAAGCCAACTCTGGCATACGTAATTTACAGTCACCTGTGACCGTTTCCCCCCTGGGTGTCTTATAACTCAGATTCTCCAATTAAGCACGTTCGTGGGCTGGGTGTCATCATTCACATTCTCCAATTAAATTAAGTATTGGAATGTATTTTCGGTTTCAAACTGCTGCAATGCTCTTCCAGATTTCCTTCCTCCCCACCCACCCCTTTTTATGGCAACTACTAAAACAGGCATAGGAATGTTTTATAAGTTGATACCGCTTAGAGAGGGCTGTAAAAGCGATATATAGGTCTAAATGCTATTGCTATTGCTCTATCTATCTACTTCTCTCTCTATCTTTTTGTCTATCTATTCATCTCTCCACCTACCCATCTATCTATCAAATCCATGGTGGTTTAGTGGTTAGAACGCAATATTGCCGGCTGACTCTACCCATTGCCAGCAGTTCAATCCTGACCGGGTCAAGGTTGACTCAGCCTTCCATCCTTCCGAGGTGGGTAAAATGAAGACCTGCTTGCTGGGGGCAAGAGACTGACTCTGCAAAACCACTTAGGAGAGGGCTGTAAAGCGGTATATAAGTCTAAGTGCTATTGCTAAGAAAACATCTTTTTTTTTTCCCATACCAAGAGTAGACATCAAAACTTCCATCATCCAGAGTATTGCCCTATAGAAGAAAAATAGTCACTGGCCTTGTAGATTTTGGGCCAGAGGCTGGATTCACACATGTAACCCTTTAAAAAACACTGTTAATCCATTAATGGCTTAGTGGGATATTTACCCATCGTGATAAAATGTTGGCTGGGTTTCCTAAAGCAACCTCATTTTTGACCAATCGAATGTACTGTATGAACATATACCAAGAATATCCCGGTTGCAGAAGGAAGAACTGGGTAGAGTTTATTTCTCCATCCCAAGTGTTAAAAATGGATATCTCACATTCAATATGATTTGATTCCAACCCTGGAGATCAACCGATTGTATCTTACCAGCATCTTCTACTGGCTATCAACAGGAAGCTGGGACCAATAATGGAGAGGGACAATTGATGGAGAAGATGTCCAGCTTTTGTCAGTTAAAACAGAGGAGGTGGCATTGTCCCCTCTAACCCAAATCTTACCATGCCAATACCAGAAGCAATATCTTTAGCATTTCAAACAACATATATTTATAAACTTAGAATTTCTTTTTTAAAAAAAGATTAAATCATGGAGTAAAGTTGTTTCATCAGAGATGTTTCATGATCAAAGTAACTTCATCAATCAAAACAAAAACAAAATGAGTTTGATGAAGTAATTTAAAATTAATTTTAAGAGCTTCCAAATTCCTCTCGGTGGTAGATATGTTGCTTTGCTTGCAAGTCATCTTAACTTCCATTTCTGACTTAAAGGACAAGGTGATACCAATGAAGAATGATTCAGCCAGAGAACATTGTAAGAATCAGCCAAAAGATTCAGATCCAATTTAATTGGAACCCGGAGAAGCAATCTGGAAAGCAGATCTGATTTTTCTAGGGCACCCATACCAAACTGGACCAAACTGAATTAGATCCAGTTGTTCAGAAGCATGCCCAGACTCACCATATCTGTTCCAAACTGATCCGAGTCAGTTTGATGGGTGAAAAAGCCACAAAGGTATTATTAACTTGTACATCTAGGAACTGGTAGAATTCAAGTGCACCTGAGATCAAAGTATAAACAGGTAACCCTTGACTTACCACTATTTGCATAGTGACCATTTAAAGTTACAATGGCATTGGGAACAGGGACTTACGACTGTTTTTCACGCTTATGACCATTGCAGCATCCCTGCCGTCACATGATCAAAATGCTTGGCAACTAGCATGTACTTATGACGGTTGCAGTCTCCCAGGGTCATGCAGTCTCCCAGGGACAAAACTCATTTAACAACTGTCTCGTTTAGTAACCAAAATTTGGGGCTTGGTAGCGGACAGAACATTGTCTTCTCTTGTTCCAATATTTGAGGGGCTGCCACAGAGAGGAGGGGTGTGTGTCAAACTGTATGTATTTTTCCAAGGCACCAGAAGGCCAGACAAGGAATAATGGATGGAAACCGATCAAGGAGAGATTCAACCTGGAAATAAGGAGGAATTTTCTGACAGGGAGAACAATCCATCCATGGAACAGACGTTGCTTTCAGAAGTTGTAGGAGCTTCACCACCAGCAATGGGATCCTACCTATTCCACTATCGGTTTGGTGATCGCACATGCGCACATGCACACCTAATGTGCCACCCACAGCTTTCCCCACACCAGCTGAGGCCTGCAGCACCAATCAGCGGAGGCTTTTTTTTTTTTTTTACTACCGGTTCGGTCAAACCAGTCCAAACCGGTAGCATACCACAACTGTTCATCACTGGAGGCTTTCCAGAAGAGACTGGACTGCCATCTGTCAGAAATGGTGCAGGGTCTCCTGCTTGGGTGGTGGGGTTGGACTAGACGACCTACAAGGTCCCTTCCAACTCTGTTAATCTGTTATCAAAATGGGGGGCGATAAGGAAACAGATGTATTTGGGGGGAAGGGAAAAGAGTTTCCGACAAAAAATAAATGACAGGCAAGCCAGGAGTTTGGAAGTAAATATGAATGTTTTAATGCACAGAACAACCTGTCAGGATACTGGTAATGACAATCACCCAAGGAGCTTTTTTTTTTCTTTCTTTCTTTGACACCTGATGTATGTTTGATACCTGCTACTGTCCTCGTAATGGCCCGCTAGCAAAGTTCTTTCTCCAGTTTGCGGTGAACTGCTCAGTGGCTACTCCAAGGATCCTTTGGGCCCTTCCCAAAACGTAGGTCCTTCTGACTCCCTGCTTTAAATTCTCAGGTTACCCAACCTTCAGTCCCTCGGAGCCAAAAAAAATATCTTAAGGTGAGTCAGCAACTGTGTCCTTCTCAAGTACAGCTGAAAACGGCTCCTTTTCACCACTCGTGAAACCACCCCACACCAGCTGAACTGTCTCTCCATCTCTGCTCAATTTTGGAGCCCAGGACTAGGGAATTTAGTTGGGAGAAAAACGTCGGGAAAGGAGGTTGCCTTGTTTATTATTTTATTTTATTTTTTTCCCCCTCCCCTTGGATGGAGCGAAACAATGGACTTCCTTCTTAAATAATAATTGTTATTTTTTTAAAAAAAGAGAGAGAGAGAAAGAGAGAGAGAGAGAACATAAGCAAAGGGGAGGAGGAGGGAGGGATCTGGCTGGCCCCACGGTTGGCTGCGGTTTTGTCGAGCTGATCTCCCATCCGTCGAATGGTAGGTTGCCACATGTCCTTGCTTGAGCCGGGGAGAAGGGGAGTGCCTTTGCCCCGTCGTGCCTCGGTTGGCCGGCCCGTGTTTTTTTTTTCATCGTCCCTTGGAGTCGCCGTACATGTTCCGCAGCAGAGAGATCATCTTCTCTTCGCAGGTGATTTTGGTGTCCTTCAGGACATTGTACCAAACCATGCCCTGGGAGCGCTCCTCCTCGCTGCGACAGAACAAGTAGGGCATGGTGTCAGTCCGGCTCTGGATGTAGGCGCTGCGTAGCAAACTGGAACAGTGCTTACTGACTTTCTCCAGCCGCCGTAAGATGAGGTGCGCTTTTCTAGAAGGGGAAAGAGGGGTGGTGGAGAAAAACCAGCTTTGAGGCTCCAAGGAAGGCAAAGAGGAAGAGGAAGAAGAAGCTGGGAAGAGAAACTGCCATTTTAAGTCACCGTTACAATGTGGGAGAAGCCGATTAGTCCATGGGAGCAAAATGATCAAACTCAAAGGGAGGGAAGTTTGTGGAGAGGAGGAAGAGGAAGAGGAAGAGGAGTAGGAGTAGGAGTAGGAGTAGGAGTAGGAGTAGGAGGAGGAGGAGGAGGAAGAGGAAGAGGAAGAAGAAGAAGAAGAAGAAGAAGAAGAAGAAGAAGAAGAAGAAGA